TAGAATTCAGATAGACCAGTGGTTCCCAACCCAGTCCTCAAGTACCCCCTACTAGTCCAGGATTTAGGGATTATTCTGTTGTGTATAAAATGTTTTTGTTTTCTTTCTAAAAACACCTTGGACACAACTGGGTAATCCCTAAATCCTGGACTGTAAGACAGAGCCAGGTCAGGGATACCAGAATACAGAATGGTCAAGTGGAAATGTATAAACATGCTATTGAGTTAAGGAGAAACCACAAGGCACTTGAAACTGTTCTTTTTTACAGGCTGGGGGCATAATTGCTATATCCACAACCCCATAATGTAAGCCTTATTCTGTCATTCGTGATATCATGATGCCAGCACGCATGCACCACATCATAAAAAGGAGCTTGCAGAGGCCGGTGTCAGTGTTGCTATATGAGTCAGCAGGGGCTGAGACAGTGGTGTTCCGCTGGAGAAATGTAGGACTCCTTACACTCTTTCAAGAAAGGTTCGCCAAACAACATCCCCTTTGTCTGGGAGCCCAACTGTTGAGTTTCAACAGTTTTGGATCAATCCCGAATAAGACAGTCTTGCGTTTCTCCAAGGACAACTCCACATTCGCATTGCTTATTAAAAATACTGTATGCTGTGCCCACTCCCAAATTGTGTGAGGATCAAGGGTAGTGCCTGATGTCATGGCAGAGTCAGTCAAATAAAGAATCTGGGCAACAGGACCCAAAGCATCTAGAATTTTGTCTTGGACCAATTTTAGAACCTTCTCCAAGCCTTTTCAAGGGTCTCTGCCCATGCATGCCATAAAGGTAATTATGGATTGGTCAAACTCACGGTGCAGACATTTGAAGCGTAAACAATTTCTAACCTCTTTGTTTAATCCACAGAACGGGGATGTTAGACATTACGCAGGTCGAACATGGCAATACCATGCCTGTCCATGTGTCTCATTTCCTCCCCCAAGCCACTCCATGCGCATTCATCTTTGGAAGAACTGAAAAATTACCTAAAATTTGGATCTTCGGTCATTTACACAGAAAAATAATACAAGCCCACCAAGTGTGGAATGAGTGAATAACCAAATGCCAGACTGTCTTTCGGTCATTCGCAGTGGAGTATCATTCATAGGGGCACTTGAGCCAAAGCCAAACAAAGGGTGTAAGGATCTAGATATGAAAAGTGTTGGAAAGACAGAGGATCCTAGGCAGAGCTAAGGTATAGGCCACTGGTTGACACTTTTGATGATGTAGTAGGGGCAAATATATCTTGGAGCCAGTTTGGGAGTTGCAACATGGAGCTTAATGTTCCAAATAGACAATAGTACCATCCAGGAGGATAATGGCACAATCATAGGGAGCATGAGCTTATTGGTCTCTCCTTTGTCAAAGACTCTAGCCAAGTCAAGTTAACGCTTAGGGTAGAAACAGGAAATTTCAAAGCAAAATTTATCTAGATACAGACCAGGAGGATGAAAGGTACAAAATCACAAAAGCCCAAACATGGTCAATAGCCTTCTTTGGGCCTCGTCAGCAAGGTGTAATTGATGCCTCTCTAGGCACTAGGAGAACGGGATCCACATATGAATAACCCTTTTACCTTAGGGAGTGCCCATGTAAATGTATTTCAACAAAAACAGAGAATATGAGAACTTTGAGAATGGAAAAAGGCTCAGAAAAACCTCAATAGCTTGCCATTCGTTTAGTCTCCCAGCTCCGGTTTTAAAAATGTTTTTGCTCACTTGTGCAATTATAAAGAGAACATTCAACATTTGCATATCAGATGTATCACACCCATAAGGACAGCCTAGTACCAAAATGCTATCATGAAAGGGCACTGGACCTTAGAAATGCAAGAGTATATATAGGTTCAGGCCCTTGCGTCAATTTAGTGTCACTAACGCGTGCGGAGATAGCATCAGGAAGGATTCCACTAATTAAGGGTGCCAATTTAAAATGGTGTGAAGATCTTGGCTCAGATTTGTAAGTAGCCAGAATGAGGCAACCACAACTAAGTAACAATGAGGTTGCGTCCAAAATTGCCCCAATACTTTTTTTTTTTTTTTATATATTTATTTTTGTAGTGCATGAATAAAATAACAAGCTTATAAGAACGTTTTACATCAGTATGCACAAAAAAAATGTTAAGATCATGGTAAGTTCTCTAACACAGACCTATCTAGCTGAGTTATTTTTCCTTTCTCCTCTACCACAAAGGACCATGTGGATATGAGTTTTTCAGAATAGTGTCTTGCCTTCTACCCACTGGACTATCAGGTTCAGCCCCTCTGTCCAATCCTTCTACTGGGTAGGTAACATCTCTTCTGCAGGCAAGTATTGTACATTATGCCATGACTAGAGTTGAGCGGACACCCTGACGTTCGGGTCCGGCGTGTTCGGCCGAACTTTGAAAAAAAGTCTGGGTTCGGGCTCGAACTTGACCCCGAACCCGAACCCCATTGAAGTCAATGGGGACCCGAACATTTGGGAACAAAAATGCCTCTAAAAAAGTCCTGGAAAGGGCTAGAGGGCTGCAAAGGGAAGTAAAATGGGGGTAAGAGTAGGACAAGTGCCCTGCAAACAAATGTGGATAGGGAAATCACTTAAAAATGTATAATGCTGAGCCATAAAATAGCACTATATGGAATCTTTGATTTTAACTTTGGAAGAACATAAATCAAAATCCAAAGCAAGGCTGTCAGGAGGATCACCAGAATTACCCATTTGAGAGAGGGTTGGAGTGCAGGGTATTCTCTTTCATTGTTCAAACTGAGCTCAACTCCTGATGCATGGAGAAAAGGCCTTCACAAGCCTCTGCTATTGTGTACATAGTTTATACTAAGTGACCCATACATTGAGGAGGCAGTGACCATGGCGGTGTTGGTGGAAGCGGTGGAGGAGGAGGAGGTAGCCAACACTGTTTTTTATTTATTTATTTATTTTTGTTTTTTAATTGGGGTAGCCCCCAAAATATTGGGACATATAAAAAAAAGAAACATTTGCGGCCTGCGGTGCATTTCTTGCAGTCCTGATGCATGGAGAAATGCTCAACTCCTGATGCATGGAGAAAAGGCCTTCACAAGCCTCTGCTAATGTGTACCTAGTTTATACTAAGTGACCCATAGGTTGAGGAGGCGGTGACCGTGGCGGTGTAGGTGGAAGCAGGGGTGGAGGAGGAGGAGGAAGCCAACACTGTTTTTTTTAATATATTTTTTAATTGGGGTAGACCCCAAAATATTGGGACTTATAAAAAAAAGACAACTCTGTTCTGCAGAGCGACTGACCCGTGCGTGCTGCAGCTGAAACTCCACTATCACCTGCTGCTGCTCGCACCGTCTCATGAGGCGGTGAGCGGGAAGGCCAAAGTTACGCTGCAGCGCAGACAAGCGAGCAGCAGCAGGGTGAGAACGCCAAAAGCGCGCACAGACGGCCCGCACTTTCTGCAGCAGCTCTGATATATCTGGGTAGTGTTTCAGGAATTTCTGCACCACCAAATTCAGCACATGCGCCAGGCAAGGGATGTGCGTCAAACTGGCTAGGCCCAGAGCTGCTACGAGATAATGGTGTGCCCATTATCGCACACCACCAGGCCGGGCTTGAGGCTCAGTGGCAACAACCACTCATCGGTCTGTTGTTCCATGCCCGTCCACAGCTCCTGCGTGGTGTGGGGTTTTCCCCCCAAACATATTAGTTTGAAAACAGCCTGCTCTCGTTTTCCCCTTGCTGTGCTGAAGTTGGTGGTGAAGGTGTTATGCTGACCGGATGAGGAGGTAGAGGAGTAGGAGGAAGAAGCTGAGTAGGAGGAGGAGGCAACAGGAGGCAAAGCTGTGTACCCAAATAAAGATTGTCAAACATTGTATCCTGGAACTGTGTCCCATCCGTTTACTGGGGAAATGGGTCTGACCTGTTCTAATCAAAGAGGATAACCATCGGTTACCCAGGTCCCGCTGCAATTGGTGGCAAGCGTCGGGATCCCATGTCCCTGCCAACAGACCCATGGACTACAGTGCTCTAAAGCGACCTACACTGCAGGACTTGTGTGGAGCCAGAGGAATAACGCCTGGTGGGCGTAACAAGGCCGAATTGACTGCTGCGCACATGGAGGACGACCAGGCACGCAGTGAGGCAACGAACCCCAGCCAGGGGCCGGAGATGAGGAGGAAGTGCGTAAGGAGGTGTAACTGCGCCTGGCACATTACCGAGAGCCACCCTCAGAGGAGATTGTCAGCAGGACCTTTCTGGAGGTGGAAGCCTATGAACTTGCCAATAGACAGAGGGTGACTTCCATGAACCCAGATGAAGGAAGAAGGGAGCAGAGGGTGCCGGGAAGCACAACCACCCTGGCCCACAAGCTACCATACAATGCCTTCAAAGACTTCAAGGAAGCAGAAGAAGGCATCGATTACTTTTTACAAGACTTTGAGCGCCAGTGCCTACTCCAAGACGTGGACCCCGGTGACTGGGTCACAATCCTGGCCAGCAAACTAGTGGGGAAGGCAGCGGATATTTATCGGGCTGTACCAGAGACTCTCTTTATTACCCAAATCCTCCTGGCCTGGAATGCGGTCACCCCCGAGCATTACCGCCGAAATTTTAGGGAGACCTGAAGAGGGGAGAAGGACTCCCATGCGGAGTGGGCATGCTGCATCACAAGGGCCACCCAGAACTGGCTCAACTCCCATCAAGCCAAGTTCCCAGAGGAGATCACCCAGCTCGTCATGATAGAGCACTTTTTCAATGGGCTCCCCAATGACACGGATGGTGAGAGACTGCCAGCCCCAGACCCAAGAAGTATTGGTAAGAGCTGCTGAAGCTACATCATGATATCCCCTTGGCAGGGCATTTGGGCAGGAGCTGGACAGCGTCTCAGCTCACCCACAGCTTCTTCTGGCCAGGCATATCTCAGGATCTGAGGCAGTACTGCCAGATGTCTGCTAGAGAGTGGGGAAGAGAAGGGACCGGCACAGGGCCCCCCTCCATCCCCTACCTATTAGTGAAGATCCGTTCGGCAGAGTTGCTGGCGACATTATAGTTGAGCAGGCACTTTGTTGACTCAAGAGAACCTCGGGTCAATCGCACGTCCCCGTGACAGTGACTTTGCATTCGGATGTCTGCCCTATCAACTTTTGATGCCAGTTTCTGCGCCTACCATGGTGACCGCAGGTAACGGGGAATCCGGGTTGGATTACGGAGAGGGAATCTGAGAAACGGCTACCACATGCAAGGAAGGCAGCAGGTGCGCAAATTACCCACTCCCGACGCGGGGAGGTAGTGATGACAAATAACAATACAGGACTCTTTAGAGGCCCTGTAATTTTAATGAGTCCACTTGAAATCCTTTAACTATGATCAATTGGAGGGCAAGTCTGGTGCAGAGCGACTGACCCGTGCTTTCTGCAGCTGAAACTCCACTATCGCCTGCTGCTGCTCCCACAGTCTCTCCAGCATGTGCAAGGTGGAGTTCCACCTTATGGGCACGTCACATATGAGGCGGTGAGCGGGAAGGCCAAAGTTATGCTGCAGCGCAGACAGGCAAGCAGCAGCAGGGTGAGAATGCGGAAAGCGCGCACAGCCACTACAGTGAATGTCACATCCTGTTCGAAGTTGCGGATCAGTCTGGTGATGGCTTCTGGTATCCAGTACACTTTTTACTGAAGCTGCATCAGGTTCCTGGTATGTGGCCGCACAAAGGCCAGTGCTCAACACCAGGGGGTGTGCGGTTACCCTGCACCAGACCCTGCTAATCCATTCCACACTGTGACTCCTAACTTCAACATCACGCATACTGGGTCCCGGTCGTCCGTCCGACCGCCACCCAGACAGTGTCTGGGTTCCGGTCACCAGACTGCCCTCCACACTGTGAAACTACGAATGGCTCGTTAAATCTGGTACGAACCCGAACTTTGCAGTTCGGGTTCGCTCAACTCTATTATGGATCCTTTGATCGCTACATCTGTTACTTGGATAACTGGTAATTCTCGAGCTAATACATGCCGACGAGTGCTAGGGGACGGCCGCTCTGCTTTTGCACCCTGCTACCTCTTATGTGCTGGTGCCTCTGTGCGACCAGCGTCTCTTCCTCCAAACTGCACATGTCACTCGCATGACCTTGATTCCATGTGGAGTCTAGGACCTCATCATCCTCCACATCATCTTCCACCCACTCCTCAACCCTGCCCTCCTTGCCGGTCTGCACATTGCAGAAAGCCACAGCAGTTGGCACCTGTGTTTTTCCAGCATGTAAACTCTGCAAAGGACATATGTAATTGTTTTAGAATTGTATCCAGGCAACAGTTTTCCCTATAAACTGACCTCTCAGTTTGACTTGTGAGGGTATTGCCCCCGAATTACAATATTGTTATATTGGTATTTGACGGTTCTATTTGACTGTCAGATATGAAGTGCAGGCCGCAAATGTACTATTTAGCACCCAAAAGCAAAAAAAAAATAGAATTTGTCAAACTGCGCTGTAACAACAGTATTTGACGGTTCTATTTGACTCTCAGATATGAAGTGCACCCCACTAATGTACTATTTAGCAGATTAGCACCCAGAAAATAAGATTGTTTACAATTGCGCTGTAACCGCACTATTTGACGCTTCTATTTGACTCTCAGATATGAAGAGCACGCCCCAAATTTACTATTTAGCAGTTTAGCACTAAAACAATTAGAATGTTTACAACTGCGCTATAAGCGCAGTATTTGATGCTTCTATTTGATTCTCAGATATGAAGAGCACCCCACTAATGTACTTTTTAGCACCCAAATAATTTCAAGTTTTAAAACTGCAATGTGACAGCAGTATTTGACGCTTCTATTTGACTCTCAGATATGAAGTGCACCCCACTAATGTACTAGTTTGCAGAATTCTTTCCTAAGCTGTCCCTCACAGTGGCAGCATCCTCTCCCTATACTAATAAGAGCTCATGTGACGTGCGGCGCTACGCGACTCCAGCTTATATATAGAGGCTGGGTCACATGCTGCACTGGCCAATCACAGCCATGCCATTAGTAGGCATGGCTGTGATGGCTTCTAAGGGCACACGAGTCAAACGCTTGTTGATTGGCTGCCCTGCAGCCTTTCAAAACGCGCCATTAAATCGACGAACACCGAACTCCAACCCGAACATACAGTGATATGTCCGTGTTCGCGTCCGGGGTCCAAAAACCGTAATGTTAATTGTCAGTATGAACCCGAACTTTACAGTCCGGGTTCACTCAACTCTAGCCATGACTTCTCCTAATATTATCTTTCAAAGACTGTTTGGCTCACAAGGTACAGGAACACAAACATTGCATTGTTTGACACAAGTGCTAGCCTTTGAGAACTCTCTGGTCTACTTTCAGTGACATAGTTAAAACAATACATAAAATATAATAGTACGGAGTACAAGTATCCATCAAAACACAATATAATATCACTCTTAAAAGAGTGGGGGAATCAGGGGAACACAGATAACAAAAACTAAAAGAAATGACCAAGGCATGTACATAAATATATACAAATAGTTCATACAGAGCATATAACTGTGGCAAGGAGCTTTCCACTAACAGACAGTAAGCCCATGCAGAAGTCCAGTTTATGAGTCAGTTGTAGTTCATCAGCTGGTTGTTCGCATCTGAAATAACTGAATTATGTGTGTTAACTGACAAGCTGTAAAGTAAATAGGAAAGATTGTTTGACTTATAAGCATTACCTATTTTTCCGGTGTGCTACTTTTTCTAGTAGAAAGTAATCCGACTTGACAGTATTTTTAGTATATGCTTAATTAATGCAGTGCCCACATTTGTATTTATATCTAAAGCTACTATGAAGTAAGAGGGAGAATTCTTGGGAGAGGAACGTCGGACTGTGAAAAAAGATGACATAGGCGGATTAGATCCCTAGAATGGGAGGCATTATGTTATATTTTTTCCCTAGGATGCACGTCCTCATGTTTTAAGATGTAAGAAAATATGTAATTTTTTTAAAGTGCTGTTTAACCTGCAGGTGTTGTGAACAGTTAACCCCCAAATTCTGCTGTGCGGCACCGTTTCTCTCTGTCACTGCCCACATTTGCTTTAGGAAATTCTTATCAGCTGACACTCTAAGCCAATCAGTAGCTCCCCATAAAAACAAAGAGAGAAATGAACAATGATGCTGTTATGGTACCCAAAGTGTTCCTTTAAGACACTTGTTAGTTTGTTTACTGCATTTAAACCCCTAAAGAGAAAACTGAAAATTTAGGTAACCTATTATTGCATTTTCCTTGTTTTTCATAACTACAGACAGAAATAATTTTTCCCAATAAAAATGCATCAATATTTTGTGCATGATTGGAACATTAATATTTGGAAGTGATAAAGTGACGTCTTAATTATATGATAAATAATATAGGGAGTGTGGCAACTAGGATACACAAATACAGACATATAATCCCCATGCTATAACAAAGTAGAACCTGACATGTACAGACGCAGGGTAACCTACCTGCCTACATGACAACCTATTTACCGGAGGCTCCAACACTATTACAGCTCAGTCGTTTATTGTCTGGCTGCAATATTATACTGAGATGTTATGTTTGTACTGTCTATATGCAATTAACCTTCTTCCCATTCTCAGTTTCATATTTCACATCCTGGCAGAATGCCCCGCTAAGTGATGCTACGTAACAGTACTTTCACCTAATAGTGAGAACTGTTTGCAGTTCTTCGACCATTGGCCTTGCCTTGTTATCAGCTTCAACATCAATAATGATCGGCACATTGTATTTCCCCACAGTTCCCTTTAATTATATATTCCTCTAATTTACTGCGTTATAAACTATGCTTTTCTCTAACTGAAGGTTTTACCAAACCAACACTTATCACCCTCATTGCTCACTATTAATTTACTGTCTTGTACATGATTTCCTATTGTTTAATATTGCAACACAAGGCTTCTCTGTATTTTATGCAATAGATCAAGTAAGCTGCTCACTTTTTTTTTAATCTGAAATTTTTATTTAGTCATTGCTATTTCAACATTAAAAAAAATTGTAACAGAATACATTTAAATGTAATATTGTTATATCTTTCACAGTCTTTATAGTAACATAAACAATCATAGATGACTCTAAAAATTCTAATTAAACAAAATAGTATTTTATTTATATTTGCACGTAAAGAGACTTCTGCCAGTTATGATTACAGAGCATCAATTATCATACTCCAAATTTTCCTTGGTCTTTATGATACAATCCATATTTACATAATTTAAAACATAATATAAAATACCGGTATTCTTACTTAGCACAAAACAGATTTGCTGGCCCTGCTCAGTTACGCTCCAAAGCCAGCCGGAATGTCATGTTACCATGGATCATAATACTGATTTTTGAGTGTAACTGAATTTAGCAGCAGTGTGATTATTTAAGCCACCTAATAAACTAACATGCTAGTGTGTACTTGACAACTGTAATTTGGCCATTTATCTAAGCTTATCTCCAACTTCCCATTTTTACATAGTAAAAATATCAGACTGCCATATGACAATTAATAATTTAATATGGTTTATGTAATTGTGAAACTTTCGCAATGAAGTTTCACACATATCTATCAATTAAAGACAACCCACAAAACGGAAAAAGACATAAAGTCACAGAGTGGGATCAGTAAGTGCTGAGGAGCATGGTGCGTAAATGTCCCCAACGCTCCATTGATCCCATAGCTGAAGAAATCCAAACTCCAACTGGCATTAATATCAACACAAAACTGTGTGAAAGGAGCTTCAAGGAATGGGTTTCCATAACCGAGCAGCTGTATGCAAGCTTCACATCACCAAATACAATGCCAAGTGGCGGATCGAGAGGTGAAAAGCACGCCACCCCTGGACTCTAGAGCAGTGAAAACATGTTCTGTGGAGTGAAAAATCACGCCCCTCTGTTTGGGAGTCTAATGGACAAGTCTGGGTTTGGCAGGTGCTAGTAGAATGTTACCTGCTTGACTGTACTGCACCAACTGTAAAGGAGTTGGGCTAGGCCCCCTATTTCCAGTGAATATAAATCTTAATGCTTCAGCATACCAAGATATTTTGGACAATGCTATGCTTCCAACTTTGTGGGACCAGTTTAGAGAAGGCACTTTTCTATACCAGCATGACTGTGCACAAAGCTTGACTAACCTGCACAGAGCTCTGACCTTTGGAATGAACTGAAATGGAGGTCTTCTCATCCAACATCAGTGCCTGACCTCACATATAATCTAATAGATGAATGAGTAAAAATTCCCTCAGAAGCACTCCAAAATCTTGTGG